AATGCTCCAGGGATGGACGAGATTGGATTTTTAGTTTGAGACGAGATTTTTTATTTCTCATAAAATTTCGAGACGGAATTTCCCTTCTCATACACAACGGGAAATGCACGTTTGGAAATTTTACCTGATTTTGTAACATTGTTAGATGACTGTTTAAATACAAAAATAATGATAATAGGCAAGAATATTTACAATCTTTTATTAAAAAACATCAGCATAACATTTTTTTATTAATCATGCCTAAATTATTAAAAATGCCTACGATTAGGAAACATAGTGATAACAGTTAGGATAGAGTTCAACTTATCCTAAAATAAAATAAATCATAAAATAAAATATTAATTTTGATAAAATAGTTACTTGTTTTGCCTTTTTTTTATAGTAATAAAACATTCCTCACACTGCTAACACTTAACAAAACTTCTCAAATGTTATTAAATAATTAAAGTAATATTTACATTTGAAGAATTAAATTAAATAAGAACGCCTTCGCAAAGGAAACGCAACTACAACACGCTCCTGTATTGCGGGTATTGCATTGACTTTCTGCAGGCGTTTTTAAATTTTATTTTTTTTTCTCGTTTCGATAAAAATCTTGGCCAAAAAGAAATCTCGTCTCGTGTAACGAGATTTAAAATTTCCTGAAATTTCGAGACTTGACCATCCCTAGATTGGAGTGATTGAAGTTATGTCAATGTCAGTTTTGAATGTTTTTACTTTGAAGTGAATTTGTAACTTAAAATAAAACTGATTTTGTTTGTGGAAGTTTAATAGCAAGTAAAATAAACATATTCTGTTTGTGATTTTGATTGTGCAATTTTCAAACATGAAAACAACAGTTTGAATTGTAACTTAACCTAGAAAATGTGAGTTTATAAAGAAAGGCCAAATAGGCTATACCGGGCTACAGTGAAATGTGTTTTATTTTAAATCATGTGGGATTTTATTTCGAGATAATAGGCCTACTATGTTTTTGTTTGATATTTTCAGTCTGTCAGAGACGAGTGACTTGATCATTTTTATAGTACTGAGTGAAGAGGATAGCCCTAACTTAGTAGGCTACCCATAACCTTCAAACTTAAGACAGATGAAGTGCTTATCTAAGTGATTATTTTAAACTACCTAATTGCATATTGATGTTTTTAACTTGTGATACAATATGTAGTTTGATATTAGTTTTCTGTTTTATAAATAAATTTATTTTTATAAATTCTGTTTCTTATTTGAATTGAAATTATTATTAAAGTTACCTTATTAAGTTAGTTAGTTCAAGGTTGATTATCATGTTAGCGAGGAGGAATTAAAGGCAAGAAAAAATAAAACACACAATAACAAGTGATGTGTAGGCCTAAATAATTTAAAAATTATTTAAATGCTGCAGCCATTAAGTAGTCTGGGCCAATTTTTTTATTAGGCCTAAGGTAGGAGGTGCTAATAATTAGTAACCATATAACTTAGAAAATTTGGTATAATTACTTAAACTACCTATTTAGGCCTAGGCAGGGTTTAGGCTAATATGAAATTTGTTTCAGCCAAATGCTGCGAACTCTCTACAAAGACAAAAACTAAGTTAACTGTAGAAAAAATATTATTCAATAACTTAAGCATTTAAAACAAAAAGTTCCAGTAGGCTAATATTAAATTTGTTTGAACATTACATCTTTCAATTTTATTTGTAGAAAATTGACCATAGGCCTAAAACTTAGCCTGCAAAACAATGTAAACCTAGCATTTTTAAGTTGTGAATAGCAAGATGCTAAAAATACTACCGCAGCTTAAACCCTGGGCCTAGGCCTACTTAACGCGCAACTACTCGACTCGACTCGATACTCGAGTTTTTACTCAAATACTCGACTTGACTTGAAAAATCACTACTCGCCCACCCCTAGTTGGGAGGAACATGTAAATAATTGTCACGTGTCACTTGTTTGTTAAGAAAGTTATGGTCTTTTGTGTGCTCAGAAGTAATTATTATGGTAAATTTTGGTCTTTTTCACACCCATCTCAACTATGGTGTCAGATTATGGGGAAATTCAGCTGCTGCCAAAACCGCCTTTGTTAGGCAAAAAAAGGCTTTAAGAGCAATGTTTGGTTTAGATGCAGAGGCCTCATGCCGTAACCTTTTCCCTAATCTTGGTATACTTACTCTCCCTAGTTTGTTTATCTTTCACAATCTTTGTTTTGCCAAGAAGAATATTGAAAAGTTTAATACAAACTCATCTGTCCATTCCTATAACACTAGGCAAAGAGACCACATAGCTAGGCCTAGTATTAGATTGCAAAAATATTTCAACAGTCATAGTTACCATCAGATTTTATTTTACAACAAATTGCCTTTAGATATAAAAATGTTACCATTTAAGAAATTTTGTACCACTGTTTGTAAGTTGCTTAAAGATAAGGCATTTTATTCAACTGAGGAATTTTTAAATCATGTATTGTAATGTTGATTTACTTTGACTTTCTATAAAAAATTATATGTTGACGAAGCCTATTGTAACTGTGTTATCTAATGGCAAATAAATTCTTGATTCTTGATTGATTGATTGATCAAGATTTGGCAAAACTAATAAGTTTACTGCTTTACTAAATGACAATATTTTAAAATATAAACTTCATAAAATTGTTACAATTACAATATATTTTATGAAGATAGTGCAATAAATGAATGCCTAATATTAGAGGTGTGCAGATAATCTCAATTTTCTAGCATAGTTGACGTTCCAGTGCTATCTCCATTTGGATGTTTTCAGTCTACGACCATTTTGTTTTGTAAAAAGCAAGAGCGGTTCCCTGATTCTGTTTACAAATTTCCCCCCAAAAAACAAAATTTTGCCATTTCTTTACAAGTTTAACATTTCGCTGCAGTGGTGTGCGCCGTAACTACACGGCACTCCTAGCGGTGGACGTTGGAACTTGTTTTAACCGCAGCACTGCTGTCGGTCTATAATTATTCTATTTGTCTATGCCGTAATTAGGGATGGTCAAGTCTCGAAATTTCGGGAAATTTTCGTTAAATTTTAAATCTCGTTACACGAGACGAGATTTCTTTTTGGCCGAGACTTTTATCGAGACGAGAATAAAAAAAAAAAAAAAAATAAAAAAAATTAAAAACGCCTGCAGAAAGTCAATGCAATACCCGCAATACAGGAGCGTGTTGTAGTTGCGTTTCCTTTGCGAAGGCGTTCTTATTTAATTAATTCTTTAAATGTAAATATTACTTTAATTATTTTAATAATATTACTTTAATAACATTTGAGAAGTTTTGTTAAGTGTAAGCAGTGTGAGGAATGTTTTATTACTATAAAAAGTCAAAACAAGTAACTATTTTATTAAAAATTAATATTGCTTTTATTTTATGATTTATTTTATTTTAGGATAGTTGAACTCTATCCTAACTGATATCACTATGTTTCCTAATCGTAGGCATTTTTAATAAGTTAGGCGTGATTAATAAAAAATGTTATGCTGATGTTTTAGCGAATTTCCCTATAGGGAAGTAACTATTACCGTAGGTCTCATGGTAAGACTTAGGCCCGGGACCGATTTACTTTTTCATTTTAATGTCCCCAGAGGCCAAAAACACCATTCATTCAAATTTTTATATATGTATATATATATATGTGTCCGTGAACACGATAACTTGAGTAATTTTTATCCGATTTTGATGAAATTTGGTTTGAAGGTGTAAGGCGGGATAAACTTGAATGAGTTTGCGATCCAGCATGATCGGACCATGGGAACAGGGTTTTATGGGGTAAAAATTGGTTTTTCTCACTTTTTACCCTCAAAACACAAAATTTCCCAATTTTTCTCTAAACCTTCTTAAAGAGCTTAAAAAAACAAACAATTCAGTATATCAAAGTGTTTTTGTACGGTTATTGGTTACGGAGAAAACTAAAAAAATGGTAAATTTAAAATTCCCATGTTATTTTAATGGAGAATATTGTAAAATGTTGTAGTTTGCTTGTTTATGGATATATTTTGATCAAACTTGGCAAATTTATTTATTTTATAGTAAGCTATCAATATTTTACTAAAAACACACTACTTTATTAGTTTCCTTGTAGCAGCAAACCTAGGTACTCGTTAAACCTAATGTTATTTAAATAGATCAATTGAAAATCAATTCGGCCAAATGGAAATTCGCTTAGACGGCAGGTTTGCTGCGGCGGGGGTATTTTAATAAAAGATTGTAAATATTCTTGCCTATTATCATTATTTTTGTATTTAAACAGTCATCTAACAATGTTACAAAATCAGGTAAAAATTTTGAACGTGCATTTCCCGTTGTGTATGAGAAGGGAAATCCCGTCTCGATCTCGTCTCGAAATTTTATGAGAAATAAAAAATCTCGTCTCGTCTCGTCTCAAACTAAAAATCCAATCTCGTCCATCCCTAGCCGTAATACAATTTTGTTTGCATCCATACGAAAATTGGGTTATTTGTAGTTAGTTATGTTTCAGTGAATTCAAGTAAAATATTGTATAAAAAATATGTATGTATAAAATGCTATTTTGTATAAAATGTAAAAAAGAAAATGACACACGTTGGATTTTGCATTGTGATAGGATTTTGTGTTTTCGTGTACGTTTCAGTAGTGTTTCAGGGAATTAAAGTAAAATATTGTAATGTTATTGTATCATTTTTGTAATTATTAAGATGCCTCGCACACACAATCAAAATAATAGGGATGTGAAGAGAAATTGTCGTTTTCACCCTCATCAACTATATCAAATAAATCACGAATTTTTAAGTCACGAAGAGATGCAGGCTGTTAGTTAAAATTAATGATATTTAAATGGGAAATAAATCTGACAATTTGAAGGGAATAATTTAGTGGAATTCCAGCCAGGTAAATGGAAATTCGCTTAATCTGCAGGTTTTGCTGCGGTGTATTTCACCATTAATATGTTCTTAGTACCCTATGTATTATTCAATTCAACAGTTTTGGAATTTATAAAGGTGGCAGCTTACTGATAATGAATGCTTAATTTCAGTGATGAGGACTGGAATGAATTTAATGACATCAACAAGATCATTATTAGACAACCCATCAGAACTGAGTACAGGATTGCTTTTCCCTACTTGTACAACAACTTGCCCCACTATGTACATTTATCCTGGTGAGTTACTTAACTGCTCATTCTACTTTTTTAGTGTTTTATTTTCAATTACCATTGTTTCTCTTAAATCCTAATCTAGGACTTCTTCAGAAAATAGGTTGAAGAGAGTTCAGTGTCTGAAGTCAAACATTAAATTCAGCCATCGAGTCATTAAATTCAAGCCATCTTCTCTTTAACCTACTATTTAAAGAAGTCCTACCTATATTAAGTCGTAATGTCAATGTGTTTTGTGACTTTTCATTCTGTTTCTATTAGCCTTTGGACTCTAATTTTCTCAGGGAAGCTAGCTGAGCTCTATTCCATTTAAAAAATCCTTGTATTTAAATTTAAATAAAGAGTTCTTTTACTGGAAATCAGGCACAGAAGTCGAAACAACCCATATAAGCTACTAGTAATACAGACATCCAAAACATAAAAAAAAAAATTAAACTTTTTATGTGTTGTCTTGAGGTAAGTAGATAGGCTTGGAAATTATAAAGCTTTATCTGTACTTCTAGACATATAGAAACTGTGGATGTGTTCGTTAGTTTCTAGAGTGTGAGAACTAATTGCTGATACCACAAACATTATTAATTTGTTGAAATATGACTAGGAATTTGGTGTTTGCAGGTCAGCCAACTAAACCTGCATGTTCTAATCATGAGCCAAGAGTATAATGCCATCTTAATTTTGTATTTTAAACTAAAAAACAAACTTGCTTCATGGTTTTTATTGCTAAAACCATGACATTTAGTGATGAAAAATCTCTCCCGATGTGATAAACAAAAATGCCTTAGATAAATAATAATTAATAAATGCCATATATATATTTAGGCTATATTGTATACAGAAAAAACCAACAAGTCGAAAAAGAGAAAAGAAAACATTAGTTTTTAAGTCTACCTTACTCAACTAAATTAAAAAAAAAGCATATAGGAAAATATTTAATAACCAAAATTACAAATTTATGATACAGAACAAGAAACAATTTATTTGATTTAATTAACAAATTTTCACAATCAAACAATAACACAACAGACACATCTTGCATATACAAATTAAACTGCAGTTCCTGCTCGTAATTCTACTTTGGCCAAACAGGACGAAATTTTCAAAGTAGATACAAATAACATACTCAAGTTATTAAATGGAACAACAGAACAATACAAAAATCTACATTTGCAGGACATATTTTTTTCTACACACCACACATATAAAAGTTATAACAAAAACATTACCATACTAGAAAAAAGGAACCAAAATGAACATAAAAGGAAATTTCCACATATATAAACACTACAAAGAGGATTGACACAACACTTTAAATATAGTACACACACAAACCCCCAATCCTATATTTAACAAAATTATAAGTATTAGAAAAACCAATAACAATTAAACATTCAATCACAAGTTAACAAAATTAACAGCTGTATTTATTCATAACATATTTTTTTTTGTTTGGAATGAGGTAAACACTTGAAGATATCATTACAGACGAAACATGTTCTGTAATTTTTTTTTTATAAAAAAAGGAAAAAAAGGGTTATTGTATATATTAGCTATTAATATATACTAGCGGTCGTCCAGTGGTCGAAATTCGACCAAAAGTATGTAATATACAGACTTCTGTATTTTCACCCCACACTGTAAATTAAACATGTGATTGGAGTTTCTTCCATTTGTTTTGATTTTCTGTTTATATTTCGTTGTTATTTCGTCACCCCATAAGATCCATGTTAAAATTTTCAAATTTTCAAACTAATATTTTGTGCTTATTTTTGAGCCTATTTTAATTAGTAAAGGGATTCTGCACATCTACAGGAAAATATCTTTTCAACGGTATGCGTAGATTTTCCCTGCGATGCACACGAGCTGAGAAAAAAGGTTTTAAAGAAACATGCTTGCCTATTAATAAATAGATAGATACAGGGTGTCCCGGAACTCTCTACCAATATTTTAGGGCATTGTTCCTGGGTAGTTAACATACCTAAATACCATATTTAAATTGCCCGGAAGTCCTTAGTTACTCACACAGCCGCCATTTTGTTTTTTTAAGTTATTCATTTTTTTCTAAGGAATGGTTAAACATACGAAATTGAAACTTTGCACAATCATTTATGGCAACTAGACAAAACTACCAAAAAATTATGACGATTTTTAAAATTTGTAAAACAAAATGGCGGCAATTTAAAATTTTGTTTCTTAAATAACTCAAAAACCGTTGATTTTACAAAAATTTTACAAGGATAACTTTTTTAAGGCAATTTTATCACAAATCGATTAACACCTTAATTTTGAAGATTGGACAAGTATTAACTGAGATATGGTAGTTTTAGTGATACGTGACCGCTTTCAGCATGCGCTGCAACTAACCTCCAGCGGTTACGTATTTAAATACGATATTTAGGTATGTTAACTACCCAGGAACAATGCCCTAAAATATTGGTAGAGAGTTCCGGGACACCCTGTATATATATAAAGTTTAAGTTAGGATAGGCCTAGTTGACAAAATATTTCGAACACCTTCGTAGTTAACCAAGCTTTTCCGTGAACATCAAAACCAAATCAATATCTTATAATAATACAGTTCTACTGGATGGATTTTATTAATTGATGTGCCGTTGAAAAGATCAATCACTGTAGAATGGCAAATAGTTATCAAAGTTTGTTTTTGTTAGGATTTATAGTAAAAAATAAAAAAATAAACATGCTTTCCATAAAAAATACATCGAAAATGGGGGTTTTAACAATCTTTGTTTGGAAGCAACTATTGGCTGCTTATTGCGTATTTTCAGGAAATGCATAATAGTAATTTTTCGGAAATGTTATTCTCTTTCAGAATATTACTTTTCACTTTGGCCCATTTCCTCACCATTTAAAAGTTATTTTTGCAAAAAGCTAAGTACGGTAACCTCCAAATTTATAGTGGTGAGAAAATAGTTAGTTACAACTAACTTAGTTACAGTTAACTTAGTTCAACTAATTAATCTAAAGTTCTACTGGATTGATTTTGTTAGTTAATGTTAGAAAGCTTAATTTGTGTAGATTTGCAAATAATTATGAAAGTTTTGTTTGCGAATGGGTTTTCCGGTATGCATCATCTGATCATATGGGACATGTATTTTTCTTGAGACTGTTGTATTTAACCGCAGCGGGCTCTGTTGGTAATATATATATATGTTTTTCTTTAAATTTCAGGTACCACGCTCCAAATGTTGTTTACATCAAAACTGAAGATCCAGATTTGCCTGCTTTCTATTTTGACCCTCTCATTAACCCCATCTCTCATCGTCACTCACTCAAGGTATCTTTACTAGGATTTAAAACTTAGTTTTAACTTTAAGCGATTCAAGACAGTCTATATGTATACAATGGATACATGTGTTAGATAAAACTTATAGAAATTAATTTGGAATGTATATGTTTACTAAACCTGATTGACTAATTCTCTTTTAAAAAAAGCTCCATCCATATTCTCCTTGTTGATTTCTAACTTGTTTGTACTTTTGCCTTGTTTCGCAGGTGGTTGAACCCTTGCCAGAAGATGATGAAGAGTTTGAACTGCCAGAGGAAGTACAACCGTTCCTCCAAGAGACACCGCTCTACACTGACAACACAGCCAATGGCATCTCTCTTTTGTGGGCTCCTCGTCCTTTCAACCTCAGATCAGGTGAGAATGAGGAAAAGGATAATTATCATTTCAAATTGTTTTTCAAATTAAATTATAGTCATAATTTCAAGAGCAATAGGATTTGTATATCCAGAGTGTATAATTCCTTGTATATAGCCTATAATTTTGTTTTGTCATACACATTGTTTTTGTAACATAATTGTTGTATATTTTTTTAGTTAGTTATATTGACCTGAGTTACTTTGTAAAACAGTTGTTGTACTGAAAGACGCTCGGAAATAAAGGCATTTTTATTTATTAATTTTATTTATTTCTCCTTTACATGGAACCTCTCCATAGCGTTTCAGTTAGTTGACAACATATTTTATAGCACCACCGTAAATAACCACGCTAATTTATTATTTAGGCCGTTGCAGGCGTGCCATTGATGTTCCATTGGTCAAGAGCTGGTATCGAGAACACGTCCCACCTGGCCAACCTGTCAAAGTGCGAGTTAGCTACCAGAAGCTGCTCAAGTACTATGTTCTGAATGCCCTAAAGCACCGTCCGCCAAAGCCTCAAAAGAAGAGGTAAGTTTAGTCGTGGTACAGCTGCTGTCGGTTGTTTCTCTTTTGAACAGGATATGGCCTATTGAGAAGAGGTCAAGTAACAAATAGAGTTTACTTAAAAGAACAGTAGGTTATATTACAAAAAAAAAAAAAAACTGTTTCTCAAATAATCCCTCTCAGGGGTTAGCAAAAACCAATTCAATTTTATAAATATTTAATTCTTTGACTATTGTTACTCAATAATCTAATATCAATAACATTTTTAAGTCTTTAAGTTTTGGGACTCTACAGTATTTTTAAACTAAGTTTAATATCTTATAGTGAGGATAAAAATAACACAACAAATAATAGGGTATTTAATCCTAGTTTAAAGTGAAATCTTTTAATAAAGTTTTACCGTTTACATGTATTGTTTTTATATTGTTCTATCCCCACTTGTTGATGTTATGTAATTTAAATCCATTAAAATTTTTTTTATAAATTTCACTCTACTTCTGCAGGTATTTGTTTCGATCGTTCAAGTCGACAAAGTTTTTTCAAACAACAACTTTAGACTGGGTAGAAGCGGGACTCCAAGTGTGTCGCCAGGGATACAACATGCTCAATCTCCTGATCCATCGAAAGAACCTCAACTACCTTCACCTTGACTATAACTTCAATCTGAAGCCTGTCAAGACCCTCACCACCAAGGAAAGAAAGAAGTCTCGCTTCGGAAATGGTCAGTGTCATGTCGCAAATATTACGTTATTCTTTCAATCTTATTAGTTGTTTTAGCATTTTAAACATACATATATATATATACTAGCAGAGTACCCGTCCTTCGTACGGGGTTGGCATATAGGAATAAAATGCTTATTGCAGTTATACTCAAGCTTTGCATTTTCAATGGGGGAGGACACAGTTTGATAAAATTTGCTTCTTTAAATTTACTGTATACATAGTATTACACATCTACCATAGCCATAATGTTCTACCTCTTCACCTAAACCACCTAAACAATAGAGAAAACTTAATTATTCAAAATTTGCAAAATATCACAAATTATTTATTAAATTAAAAACATAAACAACCTGTAAACAATCCTACTTTGACAGTTCTCATTGCGTATCACAGCTTTTTGTGGCTGCTTAGTTCAAATTAGCTGTTTTCGTAAATGAAAAAATAAAATAATAGTGCTGCGCCCTGTTGGTAAATGGTATAACTTTTTAATGCTTTTGCATATTATAGAACCAACGTTTTTAGTTGAAACAGCTGATAAAATTCTTTAATTCCCTTTAAATATGAATACTCATAAGGTTAACATGGGGAACTACAGAGCCACTGGGGCGGAGCCCGAAAGGATTTTTGAGATAAGAATATGTCTATATGTTAATTGGGAATGTGAGCTATCATCGTGCCAAATTTCAGCCCAATCCGTGCAGTAGTTAATGACCTTTTGAGTAATCCGACATAGGTCCGGTCCCATTAGGGTCGGTTAAGAGGGGGTCTACTGTAATTGGTTATTTAGGCTGGAGTTGATACTGGAACAGCATAAGGTTTTGAATGAACAACACTGGTGTTCCCATTTCTTTCCAACACAGATCTATAATCTCAATTTAGTATATAGTTACCATAGAAATTGCCTGAGAATTGGCTGTTCTACAGACATTTCCCTAAACAAATTCACACACACTCACTTACCCACACAATTCACAAAGTCAAGACTACGCTCACGCACAACTAAATAAAACTTAGATGTGTGCGGATATCCGAAAAATCGGTTCGGTTCGGATATCCATATCCGAACCGGGCCCAAATTCGATATCCGACACTATCCGTTATATATCCGACTTTTTCGGATAGACAATATATTTTGACGTTTTGGACAGAAAACTAAATCTCCATAGCCACCATTAGTTTCCCAGGACAAAATTACAGCAATACGTTTCCAACGACCTAACAGCAAACGGCAAAGAAGCCGTATGATGCAATACTGATAACTAGTTTAGTCGTTATCGGCTGTTTTGCTTGATTAGATTCGTCTGGAACGAACAGACATAAAGCAGAAAAGAACTACCATCTATCTCCTGATACTAGGGGCGCTGCGTAATAGGTTTTTTACAGTACTGTTTCAAAGTAGAAAAAATCTAGCCTACTACTGTGATGTTACGTAAACAATAGATTTAATGTTTCCCGAAAAAAAGTCAGAATAGAAACAATAGAAAGGCAACACAATAGAAGGGTGGGAGGGGTTGGGCAATGACCTCGAAAGGAGCGCGGGTAGTGAGTCAAGTATGACCGGAGGGGGAAGGGGTGGGTAAGACCTTGAAGCTATATATAGACTTGCACTACTTCCCTAAACCTAAAGGACTGGCCGGCGAGTGGTATTCCAATCACAGGACAAGATACGTTGTTTTTTGGGTATTCATTGCCCGGTTTGACTTTGGATTGTCTTACTGTGTAGAAACTTTGAATAATAAAAAATAAAGGTGTAGCATAGAGCACAAGGGCCTAGATTTTTTAGGATTTTTTGAGAGGATAGCAGGCTTACCTGAATGGGAAAGAGTCCAAACTGGCACAGGAAACACAAAACATAACTTTACACTATATACACAAAACATTAGAATATTTCACTGTCACTGACAGCATTTTCAACTAAGGAAGAGAGAGTTTTTTAGATGTCCAAAATGGTGGCCAGTGAGTTGTTGAGTCCAACTCAACTCATCAACTCACTGGCTGATGACTCAAACTGAATGGACTCAACAACTCACTGGCCACCATTTTGGACATCTAAAAAACTCTCTCTTCCTTAGTTGAAAATGCTGTCAGTGACAGTGAAATATTCTAATGTTTTGTGTATATAGTGTAAAGTTATGTTTTGTGTTTCCTGTGCCAGTTTGGACTCTTTCCCATTCAGGTAAGCCTGCTATCCTCTCAAAAAATCCTAATAAAAAATAAAGATAGAACTAACCACGATTAATTAGCATTGATTGTGTACATATTAAATGATTAAACTATAGGGACCATGGATATATACAAACTTTTGTCGTGATTTTAATTAGGGATGGTCAAGTCTCGAAATTTCGGGAAATTTTCGGGATATTTTCAATCTCGTTACACGAGACGAGATTACTTTTTAGCCGAGATTTTTATCGAGACAAAAAAAAAAAAAAAAAAAAAAAAAAAAATTTAAAACGCCTGCAGAAAGTCAATGCAATACCCGCAATACAGGAGCGTGTTGTAGTTGCGTTTCCTTTTCGAAGGCGTTCTTATTTAATTAATTCTTTTAATGTAAATATTACTTTAATTCTTTTAATGTAAATATTACTTTCATTATTTTAATAATATTACTTTAATAACATTTGAGAAATTTTGTTAAGTGTAAGCAGTGTGAGGAATGTTTTATTACTATAAAAAAAGTCAAAACAAGTAACTATTTTATAAAAATTAATATTGCTTTTATTTTATGATTTATTTTATTTTAGGATAAGTTGAACTCTATCCTAACTGATATCACCATGTTTCCTAATCGTAGGCATTTTTAATAAGTTAGGCGTGATTATTAAAAAAATGTTATGCTGATGTTATTTAATGAAAGATTGTAAATATTCTTGCCTATTATCATTATTTTAGTATTTAAACAGTCATCTAACAATGTTACAAAATCAGGTAAAAATTTCGAACGTGCATTTCCCGTTGTGTATGAGAAGAGAAATCTCGTCTCGATCTCGTCTCGAAATTTTATGAGAAATAAAAAATCTCGTCTCGTCTCGTCTCGAACTAAAAATCCAATCTCGTCCATCCCTAGTCATTTTTAATTTCAACATCAAAATACAATATTGCACAATCGTGATATTTTAGGTCATTGACCTTTATTATGCATCCGGTATTGCTGTTTCAGAAGAGAAGCACGTTGATAAATTATAAATTGATATTCCCGTTGTTAAAAAGAATTATTTTATAAACCTACAAAACAAAATCATAAAATCTTACATAAAGATAACAATAACGGAAATTGTAAAAAGGGTATAAAGATAACAACGTCGTTATTCTTTCTCTTTGTTCTTCTATTTCTTGGGTTTCCCTTCATCACGCATTCAACAAGTTGCCATGGTTACTAATCACCCATGTCGTTATCAGCTATTGTGACATAGCGCACAGCAGGGGGGTAAAACTTGACGAAAATCGGTTAATTTTTACCTATTATTTAATTACCAATGAATGTACTACTTTATTGGTATTTGGCACTGTATTAATAATGGCCGATTTTTGTCAAATTTTACACCAAATTTATTGAAATTTCAAGGTGAATATTAATAAAACAATTATTACCAAATATTTGTATTCATTTAAAAGATTGATTTGTGGTATTGGGTTCCCCACTGAGTGCAGCCGAGCGGCACTAATGAGGGTCGGACCTTCTTGGGGGTGAACAATAGACGGCTTATCAGACCCTCCCCTCCCCCGTGGTCTGGAGAAAGCTTGTAAACAAACTATTGCACAAGCGTGACTTGACATTGGGCTGCTTCAACTATAATTTTGTCAAATGAACTGTGATGTTTCAAAATCAAACAATCACACAAATCAACACACAACACAATCAACAATCAACAACAAACTGCTTAACAATAATGGACTGCAATTATTGTTGAACATACAATCCATTTTTAACAAACTAAGATTATACGATTCAAATACAATTATAAAAATTATCTTGGTATTTTACTTGGGGTAATGAAGTTATGTAGGCTAGTGTAATTCTCGGTTCATCAAGGTTCTACTGAATTATGTTTGGCAGTGAATAAGTCTAGAATGCAATTTATAAATTCAGGGATACACACCTTTTACACAGTTATAAAGTCTAATTTAATTGCCCAAAATCAAATCGTGAGCTAGAGCCCATCTTAGTGCATTAGTGATGTTTTCTAAACTTGGCAAACCCGCAAAATGCCACTTAAGGACAATAATCCGTTCCAAAAACGTAAGGAAATACAATGTGAAAATAAACTTGAGATCGAACTCCTTGGCTTGTGAGAACCAGGAAACAAGATAAAACATAACCTCAAGTAAACAAGCCCAAATGTTTGACATCAGTCCTGCTGAGCTAAGGTGTTGTGTGAAGATTTCGGCTGCTAGTGTACTTAATTCAAGCAACCAACTTTTGAAAATAAATGTTGTGAATTGTGATTTTCAGGAGAGAAAAAACTGTGGACTTGGCTAATTTGAAATTCTATAGTTCAAAATCGTCATTTACGTTTATTTACACAGCTTTACATTGTTTTATAGGTTAAAAATACATATGCAGCTTATTATTAACCGCGCCGAACTATCCGAATCCGAAAATATCCGAATCCGAACCTCCCAATATCCGATCTGATCCGAACCGAGCCTCAACTATCCGATCCGAATCCGATCCGAAATGAAATTTCACTATCCGCACACCTCTAAAAAACTTACTTTCACAGTCACAACACTCCTCCGGTACTCGCTCTGTTACAATGAAAATTTGTTATCCAACCAATTCCTCTGCTCAATATTGACTTGACTGGAATATCAAGTGGTAAACCTTTACATTTTTACAATATGTCGTACAATTACAGAAAAATATTGATTTAAATAATCTTGGCGCTAAAATACTTCCGAAATATTGAGCCCTGACTCTGATCTTTTCTATCGGTTTGGCAATTTACTCTTTGTACCTGTACAGCGTTCCACCTGTGTCGAGAGATCCTCAGACTGACCAAGCTGATCATCGACTCTCACGTACAGTATCGCCTCAACAACGTAGACGCGTTCCAGCTGGCGGATGGACTACAGTATGTGTTTGCTCACGTTGGTCAGCTGACAGGCATGTACCGCTACAAGTACAAGCTCATGAGACAAATCCGCATGTGCAAGGATCTCAAACATCTCATTTATTACAGGTTCAACACCGTAAGTACAACTGGTTATTATTAACAATTTAGCAATCTGTATCCTACACGCTCTAACAATATTCAATATCCAAGACATTGCCTATGTTTATATGAAAAATCTCCTTATTATATGGGTTTAAGGCTTTACAACTAGGGGTCACAATCCCGGGATCCCGGTTATTTTTTGATACCTAGGAATCCCGGGATTGGTGTCTTTTAATCCCGGAATTAGTGGGTTTGCAAAATCTATGTTTATATTGATTTTTTTGTGAATTTGAGGAGATTTACTTACAGAAAATAATAAAAATAAATAAATAAAAATACATCCAATAACACTTGAAACACATATACTGTTTATTTTTAGGACAACTATTAATATATTAAATGGTATAAGTTATGACCTAGTTTGATTGGAAAATGTTATTATGATTAAACTCAATAGGCAAACATATGTAAATATGTGTTTTATGTTTTTAAACAAATTTGGATTTACTTTCTGTGAATGTTATTACATTAGTTAGAAGTTAATTATAGTAGGCCTATAAGTTATTTTTTAGAGATGTGCGAGTACTCGAGATTTCGAGTTCGAGTCGAGTATGGCCTTGAAACTCGAGTCGATCTTTGAACTCGACAGTTTCGAGTCGAGTTTGATTCAAAATTGCAAAATAATCAATGTATGTTAAACTGTGAATTGTATTGACATAAAATGCTGGTTAAGTTGTATTACTGTAGAAATAAGCAAGAGATAGTTGTCCTAACCTATTTTAAAGCTGTCCCGACAGAACAGGTCAACTCAACACAGCCATTTATAGCCGACTTCCGGGGCGGGACTGGCTTGGCTGGCATACTAATACTAAAGAAAGAAATAAAATGAAATGAATGATGCAATGACGACACAGCTGGCAGAACACCATGATCGGTACTACCAACATCTGAAGATGAAATCCAGTTCCAATTCACCAATGAATAATACAATGTTTGGAAATAACAAAAACAATTAATTGTTTTATTACTTATCCCTTTCCTCTCCCATAGTCAATCAATATGTGTTATGTGTAAAAACTTCTGAAGTATAATAATTACAATTATATAGTGACATAACAATTTTGTCTCTCAAGATAATATCTTATGCTATGTAGTATAGTATTTTATAATTTGTCATTGCTTTAAATTAACTGTTTTTACTTTTACAGTCATCTATAATCTTTGACTAATAACCCAATAGTCAATGATATTATCATTATGGAATATTTTGTTTACTCCATGGTTGAAATGTTGCTTTGGTGTGTTAGTTGTCTGCCGGTGAATAATGTAGGTACTCACTAATGTAGTGTTCTTCCGTCGTCCGTTCAAATCAAATCACGAAAGTTCAAAGTAGTTATAACTTAACTTATGTCTGGTTAAATAAATATGTAGTGCTTAAGTAGTGATTGTAGTTGTTAGCATAGATAAAAAATACGGTGTTAGACGGCAGATTACAGGTAATTTAAGTTAAAACAGTGGAATTTTGTAAATCTTTACTGAAATGGAGGATGATCCAGACGATCCACAACCAGGGCCTTCTGGTGCTTCCAGTTTAAATCTTAACCAAAATGTAAGTAAATCTGTCGTTTGGAAATACTTTTCTAAACTCGACTCGACCAAAGCTTCTTGTAACAAATGCAAGAAAGTTGTCAAGACACCAACTGGCTCTACAACGAACTTAGGAAGGCATCTAAACATGCACCCAGTTGTATTAGGCGAATTTAAGAAAGCCCAGAAAGAGCAAGAAGAGAAAAGGTTGGCCTCAAAAACGGGAAAAGTAAACAAAAGCCAACTAAAACAACAAACTCTAACAGATATGACTATGGGAAATAAATGGGGGAAGGACCACCCTAAATCCAAAACTATAACTAAGAAAATAGCATCATGGATGGCAAAATCTTGCCATCCCTACTCCTTGGTTGAGGAACAAGGTTTTAGGGATTTAATGAAAGAAGTGGTACCCTTATATGAAATCCCATCAAGGGTAACATTTTCTAGAAATATTATCCCAAACCTTTTTAATGAAACAAAGGCAAGACTAATGTCAGAAATAAGTGCTTCACTCCCTCATATTAAATCATTATCATTCACGTCTGATCTCTGGACATCAGGAGCTTCAGATAGTTACATATCATTAACTCTTCACTTAATGACAAAAGAATTTGACATCAAGAGGTATTCTTTAGGTACGTTCCACTTCCCAGAAGAACACACTGGTGATCAAATTAAAACCAAAATCACAGATACTCTGTCCGAATGGGAACTGAACTGTGAATTATACCCTACCTATATTACAACAGACAACGCGAGAAATATAACTTCAGCCTTTGGCCAAGGTAAGTCGTAGACTAGTATTGTTGAAAAATTTAAAATATAATTAAATAAAAAAGAACTTACATTTATGTGACGTAAGGAAGGTGATACAAAATATTTAGAAATATAGGGCCTAGGCTACCTGAAATAAATCGTTAATGGCAGAAAATATTAAACTAGGCTAGGCCTTAAATATTTTTAGGCTAGTTCTTTTACATTAAAGTAGGGAGTCAAGTGTTTAATAATACACATGCCTAAAGAGGAATGATAGGCATTTATATTGATAAGCCTATTGGGTTCTGAGTTCAGATATGCAAACAGGATGTTATTTTAGGCTAATACAAACTTATTTTAGGTCAACTTTGAAAATTAACTTTTAATGTCAGATATTAATTAGGGTACCGGTGTGTTTACATTTTCCAGGTTCAGTAAACAACATTCCTTGCTTTTCCCACACACTTCAGTTGTGCATAAAAGATATAAAACAAGAAATCCGTGGAATGCAAAGCCTCCTAACTAAATGTCGAGCCATTGTTGGACATTATAAACATAGTCCCAAAGCCATGAGAAGTTTGGAGGAATTCCAGAAGACAATGAAAGTACCTTGTCATACATTATACCAAGATGTGGATACTAGATGGAATAGTGAATTTATCATGTTGGAAAGGTAGGCCTAACATTTAAAATTGTTCTTTTTGTAGTATGAGTGAGTGTATCCCCCTAACTGAAAACAATCATGTAGTGAATGTTTTAATATAATTTTCATTTAAATTAATAGCTTTGGTTTTTATCTGTGATTAATTAATTACATTTTTATCTATTGGATCTGAGGGATATTATCATTTTCAGTAACAGATCTATATTAAACTATTTTCATTTAAAAATCAAAATTTGATTTTGAACGTCAGTTTTAAACTTATTCATATTAAAACAAAAGTATCTAATAATATTAAAAAAAAAAAACATGCTCAATGAACTGTGAAACATGCAGTGACCTTTTAGTTTAGGCCTAGTTACAAAAAGATAGCCTACATGAGATCTATATTTTTGTTTTTATAATACGGTAATTATTTATTCCTATGTTTCAGGCTCATAGAGCAGAGGGGGCCAATATCTGCTGAGTTAGCTGCAGCTAACTCAAGAGTTGCAAACCTTACATCAGACGAGTGGGCAATTGCTGAGAGCTATTGCAAGGTTCTTCAACCAATTCACCATGCTACAAATGTCATTTCAGAGGACATTTTTCCAACAATGTCAAGTAAATTCCCCATTTTGTACGGGATAGATAAATATTTAACAAAAGTAATTCAAGAAAAAGAGCGGGGGTCTGTAATGCTTGCTCGATCGTTGCAAAAATCCCTGCTAACAAGGTTTCCCGCTTTCAAAAGTGAGAAATTAACGGTGTTGTCCATGGTCATCGACCCTCGATTTAAGAGTGCTCTTCTAGAGCCTCATGAGAAGCTACTTGCAAGAATGTGGTTACTTGAGGAAGTAAACGCTCATTTGGATTTGGAGACAAATCCAGAAAATTCAGACAATCCACTCCGAGAGCCAGAAGATCAACAAATGGAACCTGTAAATCTGCTATTTCAAGACATAGATAAATTAATAAGTACCCAATCAGCTACAACCAGAGATAAAATTGATATGGTTGTTAATTCATATCTGTCAACACCTTGCATTCATCGCAAGGATAATCCATGTGAGTGGTGGAAAAAAAACAGTGCTGAATATCAACTATTAGTACCACTAGCTATGCATTACCTGCCAATTCCTGTTACATCTGTTGCAAGTGAAAGACTATTTTCTGCAGCGGGTAATGTAGTAACAAAAAGAAGACATAATCTTCTGACTGACCATGTAGAAGAGCTTGTTTTTCTTCATGAAAACTTACATTAAATGAAGGGGTTAATCTGGATTGAATACAATGGATTATAGTGAATAGTAGATAATCGTGTAACGTGTAAGTCTAGGTTACATTTGATTTCTGTAGCCTAACTACTATTTTATGGGCCTAGTACATTATTGAGTACCTACCTACTTATTTGATCTACAATTGTTTTGTTAAACAATAAGATAGGCGATTTGTATTTATTTTAATGTTGTCTTGGGTAGGCTACTTTATTTTTGACATACATTTCAACAAAATGTTGACTATCAACTGACAAGATATAATCTTCTGACTGACCATGTAGAAGAGCTTGTTTTCCTTCATGAAAATGTTAAGTTAGCTTACTTAAAATGGTTGGTTTACCTGGATTAAATGCAATGGATTTAAGCATTTAAGGATTTAAGTGAATTAGGCCTGAATAAAGGTTACATAGTTTCATAGTTTGTTTTCTTCTTGTTTTCTTGGAAACTTACATTAATAATTATGTATATCTGCATTAAATACAATAGATTATAGTGAATTACATCACAATGTGTAATTAAATTGTGAAACCTGTGTGTTGAAACTTTGTGTGTTGAATTAGGCCTAAGTTACATTTGATTACTATAACTACTATTCTATTATTAAGCCTATTATTTTAAGCTACTTGTATTTTTCAACACACATTTTTAGTATTTAACAGAATTTTTGTTTACTACTATTTTAAGACAAGATAAAAAATATATAGTTTTAATTCATTTAAAATGTTCTTTTTCCTTTACCTACTGTCACATCATCTGTCACTTTTTCTGAATAAGGAAATTTTGTAGGCCTACTGCTACAAAAACCACACCAACTAAGAATGGTAATAAACTTATAAGACTAAAGGTGAAAAGGTATGAAATAAAATTTCAAGTTGTAGAATAAATCTCTTTATTAAACTTAATAGCTAATAGATGCAAGTATTAAGTATTGTTATCCAAGTATTATGCAATATTACTTATCAGTAGGGATTAATGATTAATCTAACTATTTTTTGGATGGATAAAAAACTCACTTACTTACCTGTTTTTCACAGAAGTAAAAAATGTTCATTTATGAGCTCTATTATTGTTGATTTTAAATGATTTTATGTGTTATATTGATATAGTACTGCACAAATAAATATTGATAATTCATTTCCTTGTAATAGTACTTCAACTTGTAAGAAGGATTTTACAAGTTTCATGATCTGGGCCTAAGGTGTTACTTAAAATAACACATCCATAGATCTTTTTGGTTTAAACTCGACTCGAACTCGAGAATCGGATCTTTTGCCAATTACTCGACTCAAACTCGACTCGACCTGAAAAACCTGTACTCGCACATCTCTATTATTTTTAGTTTTACTTTTGACATTAAACGCAAACAACGCAATTTATGTGGCAAACATAACATGATAATCGCTAATTGAAGTATTATTTGCTTAAAAAAATTGAAGCCCTAAAAATTAACTATAGACACACCATTATTATTTCATTCTTAAGACTGTTTATATTTAGGGTATAACTTTATGTTCGTATTTGACAGGGTGTCTACCAACCGGGAAATCCGGGAAAACCGGGAATTGTACTTAATTTTTTACTGGTCATAAAATGTACGGGAATTGTCCTTAAATGCCAGACTATGTCCTTAAATTTTTAATGGGCTGTAATTTTATTGATCGCTAGTTGGTTAGGAGCACATGAAAGGTTTATCAGATGTTTGTTTACATTTTCATAATTTATTACTAGAGTAATTATGCAGTAAAAATCCCATTAGCAATCTCAAACCCATTAATATTTTATCACGACAATCAAGTGTCAAGTCAAGTACTTCCAAGAACTGTTGACTCAGTTAGCCAGCTCATAAAAGTTGTATCACTTTTATTCCTTTACAACTTCTTTTTATTACTAGGGCTTATTATGAGATTATATTATGAGGAATTATTATGAGATCCCAAACCTATTTTATCGTGAAAATAATAGCTTTATAATGGCTGTTAAATTTCACTTCTTTTACTTTCGGCTTGAAGATTCAATTTGCCGCGGCCATTGCCTAGTGCCATAAAACTGTTTATGGTTTCATATTAAACATGTAAATAATCTACAGTCTTATTTTGTAAGTTAACCCCTTTTTTATGGATATTTTATCTTTCAATTGACAAAACCACAAGCATTGTTGTTTGCATTAATGTTTTATCACTACGTAGGCCTGCTTGGTTTCAAATTATGTCATTGCATTTTCTGTATCTTTGTCTTATATTGTTGGCTATTCAGGTTTCAATGTTTGTTGTTTCCCATATATTTATTTATTGAGTTGTATGCTTTAAGCAATCTAAATCTTATGAACTAGAATGATGATAGTGACTTTGCTGCTATTATAACCTCATTGTTTGTTACCCAGTTTATATAGGCCCTTCTAAATAATTAGGTCTAGGCCTGGGTATTTTGATTCTTGAAAGAGCTGTAAAATATATTAAGAAAATGTAATTGAGCCTAGATAAACAACTAATGATTGCTATGTGTTGATATTAACTTTGCAAATGAAAATACAATAATCTTACTCTGTGCTTATTGCTTATTGGTAGCCGCTTACCATACCTTAAGAACAGAGTAACAATGTGCATTAAAGATTTTTTTTTTCAAAAGTAGTCGAGAGCCTAACGTTGTGCGAGGGCGAATCATGCCAAATTAATCCGCCTGGATCGGATAAGCTATGTTATGAAGTTTACGTGACCGATGGAGATATTTGTCGCTATCGCAGGAGACAATGATTGCGTTTCTCTGTTACACTATAAAAGCTTTACCTAAAGTATAGGTAAGCCTATGCTTGTTTACTTTCAATAAATTTCTATTTTGAAATTGTTAACTCTTATCTATTATTATTTACTTTTCTCTCTGGTACAACTACAGTTAAAAACAAGATTAATACAGTTTGATAAATCAGGAAAATTATTCGGTAGGCCTAATGACACCGACAAAGGTTACGGCAAAGTGTCCTTAAATGTACGGGAATTGTCCATGAATTTTTTATCCAGAATGTAGTAGACTCCCTGATTTGATTATTAGTGTGGTGATTACATTTTTAACAATCCTAAATTACGTTTTACGTACACACGCTACTACATACGCAGAGGGTTTATTGATCTACAGTACCTTATATTGTTTTATTGCTGTCAGTCATAATAAAATTTTTATGCTGCTACTCCTGATTCTTTCCATATTAGCTTTATATTTTGATTTATTTAGTTTCCAAATTAGCGTGACGTGTAGGCCACATGCTAGTGCAGTTGCTCGTGATTTTATAAATGTATTTATTATATTCTAGAGTGACATATCAACATACAGGGTGAACAACTTAACTGTGCCACCATTGGTATCTCAGAAACTATTAGATTTAGAGAAAACTTTAAATGGAGAACTTCAACTAGTTTTTTTATGACATTGAAAAATATGAATTCCAATTATTTTAATGGCCGCCATTTTCCAATATGGCGGCTAACTTTGAAATTTCTTATGGAACATCCTGTATTTTATCATGTTTTCGGACAGAACATGCAATTTAAAAATTTTTTTATTCTTGAAATTTTTTCGATAAACGTTTAGAAGTTACAGCCTATGGAAAAATGACTTCCGGTGTACATTTTACATCATGTAGCTCCTAAACAAGTAGGTTTATAGCGAAAATGCAAAGAGAAAATAAGTCTTAAAATTGCATCCACATTCCATTAAGACCATAAAATACACAGTTTTCCACTTTTCAAGTTTGCCGCCATTTTGGAAAATGGCCGCCATTTTTAAATAATAGAATTAATATTTTTAACGAATTTAATGGACTTTTTGGAATGTGGATGCAATATTAAGACTTATTTTTAACTTATTTTCTCTTCGCATTTTCGCTATAAACCTACTTGTTTAGGAGCTACATGATGTAAAATGTACGCCGGAAGTAATTTTTCCTTAGGCTGTAACTCCTAAACGAGTGGGTTTATTGAAAAAATTTCAAGAATAAAAAAGTTGTTAAATTGCATGTTCTATCCGAAAACATGATAAAATACAGGATGTTTCATAAGAAATTTCAAAGTTAGCCGCCATAATGGAAAATGGTGGCCATTAAAAAAAAAATGGAATTCATATTTTTCAATGTCATAAAAAACTAGTTGAAGTTCTTCATTTAAAGTTTTCTCTAAATCTAATAGTTTCTGAGATACCAATGGTGGCACAGTTAAGTTGTTCACCCTGTACTGTAAATAAGAAAGACGGGGGATGAAATTTCTGGCAAAATTGAGCAGTGTAACACTGATAAGGCCAGTTTAAGACATTTAAGGACTTAACAAGGGGACTTCTCGTTTATTTAAAAAATGCCTAAAGAGTTAAAATATTATAATCGGCTTAGACCGATCCCGAAATCCCGGGATTGGATTGAAGGACCGGGATTCTCATTTACAACAGTTTACCAACTAACATCAAAGACATTGACAGTGTTTCTAAATTTTAAAATTATTTTAATCAATACCTTATAAGGAAAAAGTATTATTCGCTTTCCGAATATTTAATTTATATTATAAGTAAATGTACTTTAGTTTAAGTAAATGTAGTTTTTAGTTTTGTATTGTTAAAGATGTGACAATATCACCTGTTTCACCACTACGTTGCATTTGTGAAATGTTTTGTTACAAAAGTAGTATTTCATTTGACCAATAATTTGTCTCAAACAATTCTCAATAGTTAAAGTTTAAGTATGTTCTGACCTAACTTATTTGTTATCATTTATACTTGAAACATTACTGTATTTATCTACTCCTTAACCAAAGACACAAAGCTGTGATATCTTATTTTCCTGTAAAGTTCTGGAAATCACTCTCTTGTGGCAGATGCCAATGATAGAAACAACAAATGGCCATAATACTCAGTTTCCACCTGAGCATTGATTGTTCAGTGCAATGTAGGAAATAACATAATATCTTACAAAGAATAAAATACAACCATTCCACTTACAGTTTTCACAATACAAGTAATGTTGATGTTGACAGGGTCCAGTAGGTAAAGGTCCTGGGTGTGGGTTCTGGGCTCCAGGCTGGCGAGTGTGGTTGTTCTTCATGCGAGGTATCACACCATTGCTGGAGCGATGGCTGGGTAACCTGTTGTCTCGACAGTTTGAGGGCCGACACTCCAAGGGTGTGGCCAAGACTGTCACCAAGCAGAGAGTTGAGAGTCACTTTGATCTTGAGCTCAGAGCCTCAGTAAGTTTAAACATGTTATAAACAAACAAAAACACCCCCGTTGCAGCAAACCTGCAGACTAAGCTAATTTCCATTTGCATGAATTGATATACAATTAAATCTATTTAAATAACATTCAGTACGAGTACGTAGGTTTGCTGCTTCAGGGAGGCTAATAAAGTGGATTTTTTAGTAAAATATGAATAGCTTAGTATAAAATTAATAAATTTTGCCAAGTTTGATCAAAATATATCCAAAGCCTCGTCCACACATGGCGATTTGTCTGCGGAAACATTGTCTGCCGACTGTCTCCGGAGGGTTGTTATTTGTCTCCAGCGATGTCTCCAGTAAGTCGGCCGACTGTCTGCTGACTGTTGACAGACAAATATTGGTGTTTCTGGAGACAAAATACAGTGTTTTCTGTTTCCCGTTCGAATGGGAAACACGGAGACAAGAGACAAAACTTTTGTCTCAGGTCTGCATGTGTGGACGTGTCTGGAGACAGGAGACTGGATACAAGCCGAAGGTGTTCAACATTCAGCCCATTTATTTGGACTGCAAAGCGGTAATATAACGATTTTTGGGCAGTATTAAAAGAGCTGGATTAAGGTTTCTTGAAAGTTTTGGAATTAGTTTTCAATAATTTATATTTTTATATGACATTTTATTGAATTGTTTATCTCTTCAAGTTTGAAATTTTAAGACCAACAAAGCCCAGCAAAAGTTCAAAATCTTTAGAAGTCAACCTAGTGAGGTTCCTAAATCCTTCACCTAATCTCTGAATAGAAGATAGAAGATCTGATAGAAGGTCTGATAGAAGATTGTGACCATAGTGCGAACCTTGCTCGAGTAAAAATGTTGTCCAATGGGTCCATCATTGTTTATTCCTAGGTGCTTAGCACCATGGTTCTGAAGCCCGCACAGGAGATAATTGCATCCTCCTCGTCCGCCATACAAACAAACACAGAAACACTGGCTGGCTAGTGTGGACGCAAAACACATCGCAAACTTGTATCCAAAACTGTGTTGACAGACTGTCGGCAGACAATCGGTCAACTGTCTGTCGACTGTCTCCATGTGTGGACTAGGCTTAAACAAGCAAACTACAACATTTTACAATATTCTCCATAAGATTAACATGGGAATTTTAAATTTAAAATTTTTTAATTTTCTCCTTATCGGTAACCAAAATTTTGTGTTTTCAGAGTCAAAAATGAGAAAAACTAGTTCTAAACCCATAAAACCCCTGTAAAACCTTGTTCCTATTGTCCGATCATGCTGGTTCACAAACTCAATTAAGTTTATCCCGCCTTCAAACCAAATTTCATCAAAATCAAACAAAAATTACTCAAGTTATCGCGTTCACGGACAATCAGGGCTTGTAACAGGTTATTTTTTTATTTTTGGGGGACTTTGGTTATTTTTTTAATTTTTTTAGGACAATTGGGTTTATGTTGATCAATTTTGATGAAGCTTAAGCTTGTACATCTTTTAAAACTCAAAATGCCCCCAATGAAGAGGGGTAGGATTAGTAACATAAAACAATTTTTTTTAATTTTTAATCATTATTGCCTTAGAGTATATCATCATTATACCTTTATTCTATCATTATAACTACCAAGGAATATCATTACTAAGTACTTCCTATAAGGTAATGTCCAAGAAGATACTCCAGAAGAGACTTGAGGAATACACAGAGGAAATAATTGAAGAGCATCAAGCTGGTTTTCAAAGGGGCAGGTCCACAACAGATCAAATATACATTCTTAAGGAAGCAATAGCTAAATATTGGGAATTTGGTAAATCTTATCTATGGTCTATTTATCAATTTTAGCAAAGCGTATGATAGCATTCATAGGGAAAAATTTTTGTATAGAATGGAAAGTTTTGGAATCCCAAATAAACTAATAAAATTGGCTACTTTAAGTGGTAATGGCTCTAAGAGCAAGGTTAAAATAGAAAATGACTACTCAACATCCTTTGACATGAAAACAGGAGTTAGGCAGGGAGATATTATTTCACCTACACTCTTCAATATAGTTCTTGAAGGAGCACTTAAAGAGCTGAAGAATACAGAATATGGCATAAGAATTGGAAGGAAGATAAGCGTGCTCGCCTTTGCAGATGATGTAGTACTGCTTGCAGAGACCAGAGAAGAACTCCAGGAAATGTTTGAAATCCTTAAAAGAGAAACAAGAGCAGTGGGCCTGAAAATAAATGACAACAAAACAAACCTTGTCAGATTTGGAAGGGGAGCAGAGAACGAGTAGAACATGATAGAACAACAGTATGAACAAGTTGAGTCTTTTAAATATTTAGGAGTTATTGTCAGCTTACAAAGTGAGGAACACATAGAAATAAAGAATATAATAAACCTAGCCAGTAGAAGTATGTATGCTCTAAACAAATTATTATCATCAAGATTATTGTCTCATCACACTAAACTTAAAATCTACAAAACTATCATAAGACTTGTTCTTTATGGAGCTGAAACCTGGATTATGGATAAAAACACGGAGAAAAAACTTATTACTTTTGAAAATAATGTCCTGCGCAAAATCTTTGGCCCTACTAAAGAAGGAGATGTGTGGAGAATTAAACATAATCAGGAACTAAGAGACCTGTTCAAGGAGCCAGATATAATTGCAGAGGCTAAAAGCAGGAGGCTTCGCTGGACGGGCCACATCATTAGAAGAGATAAAACTAGCACACTTGATCAAATATGGAAAAGTGACCCACTGGGGAGGAGACCACGAGGAAGATAGAGGAAACACTGGACGGATGAAGTTGTAACTACATCATATACTTCCACGGATCTCAGTAATCCTATCCATGTCTTCCCGTCCGTCTATACATTTCCTGTCCCACGGTGGTGTAACGTTCAGCCGCCGATGCATCAATCGTGGAGAGAGACAGAAGACAATCTGCAAGCTGTGTACTTTTTGACATCTGCACATCAAGTCCACGTGGACTGTCTTAACCAATCAGAGAAGATTAACCAACGATCACACCCTCTGATTGGCTGTCTCTATAGGCGGACAGGGGGACGTCTATTCCACCAAAAACCAAGAGAGAGCAGTCTCCAAGAAGTCTTCGGTCTGGTCACCGCGTTCGGGAGTCGAAGTTTTCGGTCGCGAGTGATTCGCGAAGTGAAGTGTTATTTTACCATGGCCTGTTGCCTTTAGTTTAAAGGCATATTAAAAATTGTTTAGTGAAGTGTTCAGTGCATCAAACCCATAAAGTATGTCAATTTTATAATTATTTAAACTAAAAATGTAAGTCCTGCTCGCTTACTCAGGGATAAATAATTTAAGGCTTTAGAAGTTAGATTTTCAAACTTTGACTAAATTCTATTCAATTTACTTTCTTGAATTTGAAGGTTAATTAATATTTTATTATTTTGTTTCACATTTTTAATTTTGTTAAACTCCAATTACCAACTTATTTGTTAGGATAAAGTATAATTTACCTTATTAATTTGACTATTCACTGTGCTGGTTCATTTCCCCCTGTCTAAACTGTTTAGACCACCATGTAACTCTTTGAATTGATTTTGTAACACATTGTTGGGATTTTGTATAAATAGTAAATAGGTGATTAGTTAATGTACTCGCTTGGCTATTGCGTGAGGGCCGGGACTGAGAATAAAACTAGAGTTACTAAATGAATTCACAATTTAATTAAAAAAGGAGAAGATAAACTCAACCAAACAAAATACAATGATAATATAATATAAGTCTAATACAGTTTAAACAAGGGGAAATGAACCAGCACAGTGAATAGTCAAATTAATAAGGTAAATTATACTTTATCCTAACAAATAAATTGGTAATTGGAGTTTAATAAAATCAAAAATGTAAAACAAAATAATAAAATATTAATTATCGTTTAAATTCAAGAAAGTGAATTGAATAGAATTTTATCAAAGTTTGAAAATCTAACTTCTAAAGCCTTAAATTATTTATCCCTGAGTAAGCGAGCAGGACTTATTTTTAGTTTAAATAATTATAAAATTGTCATACTTTATTGGTTTGATGCACTGAACACTTTTTCACTAAACAATTTTTAATCTGCCTTTAAAGGCAGCAGGCCATGGTAAAATAACACTTCACTTCGCGAATCACTCGCGACCGAAAACTTCGACTCCCGAACGCGGTGACCGGACCGAAGACTTCTTGGAGACTGCTCTCTCTTGGTTTTTGGTGGAATAGACCCTGTCCGCCTATAGAGACAGCCAATCAGAGGGTGTGATCGTTGGTTAATCTTCTCTGATTGGTTAAGACAGTCCATGTGGACTTGATGTGCAGATGTCAAAAAGTACACAGCTTGCAGATTGTCTTCTGTCTCTCTCCACGATTGATGCATCGGCAGCTGAACGTTACACCACCGTGGGACAGGAAATGTATAGACGGACGGGAATACATGGATAGGATTACTGAGATCCGTGGAAGTATATGATGTAGTTACAAAGTAAAGAAAGATATGGCCAGGATGGAAGTTAATGAAGATACCACAAGAGACAGGGCGACGTGGAGACAGTGTGTTGGTGAGGCAAAGTACCACTTGGGGTACAAATAGCCATGGGAGTAAGAGTAAGTAAGTATTATTGCCTCAGTAGGTGATCACTTACCTTGTTCAATACCATCCTGCGTCATTCAACCATCAAATCTTCACAGACATGTCAGTTATCGGAAGTTTACGACTTTTGACAATATATTCTCGATACCGATACCGATGTCCCTGTATCAGTATCGAAAATTGACTTATCCCTATTTTATAACAATAATCTCTGTTGAGGATTGATTATGTAAAATATCTTTTAATTATTTCATTTTAATACTATATAAAGCAACTTAGTCAATGTTGGTCGTTTTATTGTCTAGGTGATGCACGACATTGTGGATATGATGCCTGAGGGTATCAAGCAGAACAAAGCCAGGACAATCCTACAGCATCTCTCAGAAGCTTGGAGGTGCTGGAAGGCTAACATCCCATGGAAAGTAAGATGTCACTCTTGAGTATTATCTTTTGGTAAAAATCCGGGGGTAAATTTCCGGGGGGTAAAATTCCGGGGGGTAAAAATCCGGCCCGTACATTTCAGTTGTCTAAACACTAGTTATATGGACAGGGGGTAAAATTTCGGTTTTTATCGCTAATTGAATTAATCACGCTCTGACTATTTTCATTAAACTTCAAAATATAAAAATATAAAATTCTGGCGACCCCAATCATTTTGATCAACATGTTCCTTTTTTCAACTTCTTGTTATTTTCCCATCTATACAAACTCATACATTGACCTTAAATAAAAAATAACTGTGGAGCTTTGTAGATATTAGCCAAAGAATGTTGCCTTGTTGGCAACTATGCTCTAATTAAAGTGAAGCCTAGCATTTATCTCTACTGTAGCCTATATTGATATAGGTACCTGGGCTGCCAACACCTATAGAGAACATGATCCTGCGTTATGTCAAGATGAAGGCTGACTGGTGGACCAACACAGCTCACTACAACAGAGAGAGGATCAGACGAGGAGCCACTGTTGACAAGACTGTGTGCAAGAAGAACCTGGGACGTCTCACCAGGCTGTACCTCAAGGCAGAGCAAGAGCGTCAGCACAACTATCTCAAGGTGCCACTCTTAATCAATCTCAATTGTTTATATTGCTTTGATCGTAAATTAATTGTTTTAATGTGTAAATAATTCCTACTTACAAACTTTTAAATATTAGGGATGGACGGGTCCTGAAATTTAGGGAAATTTTAACTTTTAATTAACTGATATCTGTTAAAAATTCATTTAATAACACATATAACTTATGTGTGCTTCTTGCTATCCCTATAAATAAAGGAGCATGTTATTTTTATTTAATCTTTATACAATAAGATATCTGCATTGCTATTGATTAAGGTTACATAGATTATTTGGGTTAGCCTATAAGGAACATAAGATACTTCAAGAAGACATAAATTTTAAAATATTTTATTAAATTAAATTAAGACAATAACCACCGGTTTAGGTAGGCCTAAAATGTTCACTGAGTTTTTTGTTTGCATAAGAATTTGTACATCTAGGCCTACAATGAATGTTCCATATTGCTTGAATTAGGCCTATAGGCTCAAAGTCAATATCAAAGTCATCTTCAATATAGTAATCATCAATATCACTTAAATTACTTAAAGAATCACATAAAAGTCATGGAGTTTGTCACATCACTGGAACAGAGATCATAACCTATTATGAACAACTCACTACGCACGCACCGCAAACAAACAACAAAACCAAAACATAAGTTTAACAATTAATTTGCCATTTGCAAACTCATGACAGCTGTTTCAGTTCAATTAGAGAGAAACAACATATTTTAATGATAAAAATACTTCCCAACGTCCGTCTCCAATAGTCACCATGAAGCCCTGAATTAGATGAACAGTTAGTATAAGTAAGTTGGAAGCATTTATCACACATATATATAAATAACAAACTAAACTTAGTGCCTACAAACTCGCCCGATTAGGTGACACTCGTACGCATCTGAAAACCCGCCCAATATGGGGTGGGCGATACTTAGAGGGTTAAAGGATTAACCATTGATTATATACTCACAAAGTGTGTTTATAGTCAATGACATTATACACTATGATCAGCAAGTTATCAATCTCTTAAGCTGCTAATGAAATTTACATAAAGCCTATCACGAGTTAGAAAACACGAGTTATACTAGTACCATTGACTATATACACTTTGTGTAGTATATTTATATATTCAATGCTTGTACCATCTGGCAAAATTGCCCTCGATCAAAACATGGCGGCAAGTGATAAGCCTCTATCATTCAACTAGAGTTAGAGTTCTGTTCTATTAGTTGTCAGTTGAACACGTCATTTGTTGTGAATGCAAAGGCTATTTTGGATTATAAAACTATTACTAATATGAGATAATGAACTTGAATTATTTATATTAGCTGACTTCAGAGTATTCCAATAAACTATGATGTGCCACTCTTTACAACCTTAAACATCAGTGAGTTTAGCATCATAATTAACCTCACTTTTCAGAATCGGTATCAAGCCCAATTAAGCGAAGTATCGAGTATCGGCGATTCTTCGATACCACTAATATCGAAGGTATCGAGGTATCAAGAATGGGAATCGGTCCATCCCTAAAAATAATATACATATAAATTGAGGTCCATTTAATTTACAAACTTCTTCAGGCTATGTTAGTGCCAGCAGGCCGAAGTAAGAAAATGGTAGGTTTGTAAATGCTTTAGTTCTGCAGTTGACTAAAAGAACAAAGTAATTATATTTGTCAAAGCTTTAAGAAAGAGAAAAATAATATTAAATATGGAAGATACTTGGGAAGTATGGTTAAACTATACATACCGGTACACATAAAGAGAACATTATTTTGCAGGATGGACCGTACATTTCCCCAGAGGAGGCGGTGGCCATCTACACCACCACAGTACACTGGCTGGAGTCTAGACGCTTTGCACCCATCCCCTTCCCTCCACTGTCATACAAGCATGACACTAAACTGCTCATCTTGGCTTTGGAACGGCTCAAGGAGGCTTACAGGTTAGATGTTGGTCTCAGTACTCTTATCTTACTATACTCCGTTCACAAAATTTAGGCGTTTTGAGGGGGAGTCCCCCACTATTTTATTCTTTTTTAATTATATATGTAGCAGCTAATTTAAATTTCAGGAAAAGTCAGCTGTTGAGCTATTATTTTAATGGTTGAGTGATCTTGTAGAGGAGATATATTTCTTCTCCTACAACCGCCTAAATTTTGTGAACAAAGTATAGTGAAATTAGCTGCATTGTATTTAATATTTAATAAAATACATTATCTTTGAAAGAAAGAGATTATGTTTCTGTTTTAGCGCTGATTGTTATCATATTATGATTGTTATGTTTTAATTTTACGGTTTAGTTTTCTGTTACTACATGTTTAATAAAATGAGATCATCAAGTATTTTATTTCAATGATGGATCTACTCGCAGAGATAATATTTAATACAATTTTTTTTTGCAGTGTAAAGTCTCGGTTGAATCAGAGCCAGAGAGAAGAGCTGGGTCTGATAGAGCAGGCTTATGACAACCCACACGAGGCCTTGTCTAGGATCAAACGTCATCTGCTGACTCAGAGAGCATTCAAAGAGGTCAGTACTACTCATTACTCAATCTGTGTTCATTAATTGTGTTCAGTCCAAGCCAAGCTTAATATTATGCACAGGAAAACCTTGATTAACACGTTCGCTGCTGCCAGGAGCTAGGAACGTTCCGGAACGTCACGGCTCATTGTTGTTTAACATTTCCATGGATCAGCCAGCTCATCAAGAGCGTCCTATATTCCTTTGCAGCTTGTGGGGACGTACTTTTCTGACAATAAAAAAATATAGGTTCCCAAAATCACCACCAGGGTTGTTTAGAACAATAGCCCAGTCACTTTAGGTAAGAACCTAGACATGAAAGATGTAAAGCTGATTTTTTGCATCGTGATAGTATATAATAGGAAGGGTGTTTTCTGAAAGTTCCCCGAATTTCCGCCCCTTGCTTCCTCTTAAATCCCCCCCTCCCCCCAAACACCAGGTTGAAAGTGTAGTGTTTTACTAAATCACCTATATCTTTTGTCGTAAACGAGCTATTAGCATAATTGTTTTTTCTTTGAACTCCCCATTAAATTTACTTTAATAAAATAACCTTACATAGCATTACCTCTATTGGGTGGGGTTTTATATGTGGTACAAAATAAATGTTATTTTATTTAAAACGTGAAGTTGTAGATTAGGCCAAACGTCGGTTTTGCAGTAGGTAGTATGTCAATGTAACAAAACTTTTTACCTATTTTATGATCTTTCCAAAAATGTATAACAATATATATTTTAATTTAAATTGTTACCGAATGAAGCCATTTAAATCAATACTTCAAACAGCCACAAAACGCACTAAGCGGATCACTCCAACTTGACCAGTAAATATTACTATCTATTCAATATATAATTTAGTTTTAAAAATCTTTGTACAACTAAATCTATAGAGTTCTACTGGGCCGGTTTTACTTATCATTGTGTCGTTGGGAAGCTTAATTCGTGTAGATTTGCAAATAATTATGAAAGTTTGTTTTTGTTATGATTTATGGTGAAAAATAAAAAAAATGTTTTCCATAAGAAATACATTGAAAACAGTGTTTTTTATTTGGGTGCGGCTTTTGGCTGCTTAATTTGATTATTTCCAAGAAGTGCATGGTACCAATTTGTAGGAATTTTATTCTCTTTCAGAATATCACCACTTTGGTCGATTTCCTTACCATTTAAAAGTTATTTGCAAAAAGGCTAAGCAACCTCTGAATTTATAGTAATGATAAAATACTGAGTAAAGGATATTTTTGTTAAACTTTGGACAACTAAATCTAGACTTCTACTGGACCGATTTTGTTAATTAATGGGTCATTAGAAAGCCTAATTCATGTAGATTTACAAATAATTATGAAAGTGTGATTTTATCAAATATTTTTGGTGAAAAAGAAAAAATACATTAAAAACTGTTTTTTCAAGTTTCTGTTTCCAAGTTTCTATTTGTAGCCAGCTTTTGGCTGCCTTTATTAAGTATTTTATAAAAATGCATAGCAGTTATTTGTAGTAAATTTTATTCTCTTTCAGAATATCACATCCGCTTTGGTCGATTTTCCATCCATTTAAAAGTTATTGGTGATAAGCTAAGTGATCTCCAAATTTTATGTGGTGAGAAAATACTATATTAGATATATTTTTGTTAAACTTTGTACAACTAAATTGATTGTACAAATTATTGTATAAAGCATTGATTGTATAAATTCACTCCCACCCTTCATTGACGAAGGGACTGACGATGATGAGGGAAAAGAAAGTTGATATGTACTGTATCTGATAGTTTATGCCTTAAGCGGGGTTTACACTAGCATGTAGCACTTGCGCAAGTTTAAGTAATTAAGTGTTTTTTAATTGTTGGCTAATCAACTTGTTGAGCATATATTTGCCTTTTCTTATAACTACCGATTACTTAATTTTCAATCCTTGTGAGTACTTATTTTCTTACTATTTTTTTTTATTCAGTGTTCTTATTTTGCTCAGTGCCGGATTTAGGGTACTTGCGGCCCTAGGCCAAATTACTTGAGCGGCCCTCCCCCTGTGGTAGAAATTCCCTGCGATCGCGGTTCCGAGAATATCTCCTATGCATCAAAGAGACATCATCATTGACACCCGCGATCGTGGATGAAATCATGGACATTTCTCCTAAACCAAGTCAAAGCCATGATAAGTATCCATGACGCCTTACGTGACCATGGAAAAATCATGAACGTCTCCCGCGGGCTGCAACAAAGGGACATCACCATCAACACTCGCGACAGCGGCTAATTCTTGAACGTCTCCCGTGGGCTGCGATCGTGAGAACACATCACCGTCACCCGCGGCCGCGGCTAAATCGTGAACGTCTCCCGTGGGCCGCAATCACGGGGACATCATCATAAGCACCCAGGGCCGTAGCAAAATCGTGAACATCTCCCTCGGTTAGCGGAGACATCATTATGGTCACCTGTAATCGTGGCAAACTGGTGGTTTTAAAAAATAATTCTTTTTTGGGATCTAAAACATGTTTTTCTCGATCGTCCGCGGCCCCCTTTTGCTTGCGGCCTTAGAGGTAAATCCGGCTCTGATTTTTCTTGTTAAACATTCTCACAGGGTGTGTAAACAATAAATAAATAAAAAGTAATCATTTAGTAATATTAACTGGGCAATTTGGAATGATGCGCTAAGTGAGCTATGGGGCTGTTTGAAGCATGGATTTAAATGGCTTCATTCGGTAACAATTTAAATTAAAATATATATCGTTATACATTTTTGGAAAGATCATAAAATAGGTAAAATAGGTTTTTTTTCAAACACATTGACGTACGACCTACTGCAAAACCAGGGTTTGGCCTAATCTACAATTTCATGTTTAAAAAAATAATATTTTTTGTTATATTACAGATATAAACCCACACAATAGAGATAATGCTACATGTAAGGTTATTTTATTAAAGTAAATTTAACGGGGAGTTCACAGAAAAAACAATTATGCTGATAGCTCGTTTACATCAAAAGATATAGGTGATTTAGTAAAACACTACACTTTCAACCTGGTGTTTGGGGGGAGGGGGGGGTTTTAAGGGGAAGCAAGGGAGGGAAATTCTGGGAACTTTCAGAAAACACCCTTCCTATCATACACTATCACGATGCAAAAAATCAGCTTTACATCTTTCATGCCTTTTTTGGCCTTGATTTTTTTCTTAAGTTACTGGGCTACAAGGCTTTGTCCCACCTCTTTCCTGCTAGATAGCGACACTACTTTACCGACTGCAACCTGGGTAGTGCTGCTATGTATCAGAATCACTTAGTACTATGTCCAAAGTCAGTTTTATTGCAGAACATTGCCATCCAGTATAACTACTGTTGTTTTTACTGTAATTCAGTGTATCGGCGGCAATTTTATGCAGCGGGGAGTGTTAGTTCAGCTCCTGGCGCCGTCCCCGCATCTAGCGGTCAGCAGCGAACGTGTTAACCGGGGGTGGATCAACCATATTCATGGTCAATAGATGCCTCTAAAACTATGTTATCCTCATTGTCCAAGAAATTATATTTTTTATGTTATTGTTATCTTTGAATCTTATTTTTAAACTGTTGTTATTATCTTTAAGTGGGGAGCGAGCTGGTCTAGTGGTTAGAGCGCAGGACTACCTTCCCCCCTAGGTCCCTGGTTCAAATCCCGCCAAATCACCAATGGATTTTATCTAAGTGATAATGCCGTACCCCCTAGGTCCCTGGTTCAAATTCTGCCAAATCACCAATGGATTTTATCTAAGTGATAATGCCATAACCCCTAGGGTCTAGCCTGAAGTAATGTGAAAAACAATACTGAGCTCGTGCCTAGCGTCCTAGGACAAAAAAATTTCTATGATTTTATATAGTGATGGGCGGATCTAAGAAAATGTTGGTTACTGTTTGGACATTTCCTTCAAAGGTCTTAAATAATTAATCTTTTTTAAATGCTAATAAATCCTCTAATGTGAGCCTTTTAGACCAAAATAACTACTGTGCTAGGGTGTCATGATTTTGATTGTTATAAAATCTGTGTTAAGTGGGAATATGGTCGAACTTTTTGTGGGGATAAGAAAAATGCATTTATCATGCACTTAAATATTCAGGTTGGTCTTAAAAAAAAACTGCATGATATACATGTACTTTTATATAATTATAATGTTGATGTAGTATGTTTGAATGAGCATTGTTTACAGGGTAATTGTTGTAAAAGGGCTTAAATTGTGTAGAATGATAAAGAGAAAGGGGTATTAGGTGCAAGTTTCACTTAATACAAAAACACAACATAACTTTCCACAAACATGTAGTATGTTTGAATGAGCATTGTTTACAGGGTAATTTTTGTAAAAGGGCTTAAATTGTGTAGAATGATAAAGAGAAAGGGGTATTAGGTGCAAGTTTCACTTAATACAAAAACACAACATAACTTTCCACAAACAACATCTGGTATCCATGACAACTAACTTATACAGAACACATGTGATATCAACATGAATCATTCTCACAAATCATATTTCAACATCCTCCTTATTTGTGGAATCCCTGGAACTTAATGCAGTCTCTGAATTTTTCACTGTCAAGCGCCATTGTTAGAGAATCAGCAACCATCTCTTTAGTAGGAACGTAAATGAAGGAAAGCTGTTTGGATTGAATCTTCTCCCTCAAGAAATGATGCCTCACATCAATATGTTTTGTCCTGGCTTGGTACGTTCCATTCAAGGCTAAGTTCCTGGCTCCCTGATTGTCACAATATATCTGGACCAGACTCTTTGAATTAGGGATGGACGAGATTGGATTTTTAGTTCGAGACGAGACGAGACGAGATTTTTTATTTCTCATAAAATTTCGAGACGAGATTTCTCTTCTCATACACAACGGGAAATGCACGTTCAAAATGTTTACCTGATTTTGTAACATTGTTAGATGACTGTTTGAATACTAAAATAATGATAATAGGCAAGAATATTTACAATCTTTCATTAAATAACATCAGCATAACATTTTTTTATTAATCACGCCTAACTTATTAAAAATGCCTACGA